GCTTCACACTGTGAGTGAGAGCGCAAGCAGTCCCTGCAAAGATAGGGTCAGCCTTGGAAAACCCAGAAGTTGAACTTCCAGTCCTTGTTTGCACTGGGCTCGGTAAGCTCCTGCCCCATGTTAGTGGACATGTGAATGTTTGGAATGGCCCTAAGGTATTCTGTGCCCACCAAGCCTCACAAGGACCACAGCTGGACAATAAGCAAAATGACTGAGGTGGACAGTTGCTGGTGAACGGCCAGGGCCCTTCTCCTGAGATCTTCCAGAATTTTGCCTTGGGAATAATCCTATAGGCTTCTTTTTCTTGGTCCTGCCATGGCCCCAGCTGGCATCCCACAGACCATGACCCATCAGGAGGTAAAGGAAATTTCCTGTCTGTAAAGGAAATTCATCCTCTGCAAGGATGCAAATACCAAGCTCCAAACTCAGAGGTTAGGAACATCAGGCTGTTAAAATGGTCAACCTACCAGGATTGGGAATTAAAACCAGAGGCTCTTGCAGCTGCAGTGGAGTTCAGAGAATATCTCCAGCAATCTTTTACAGATAAACAGTCCTAGGAGATGAAGTGACTTGGCTAAAGTCATGCAGCAAATTAGTGGCAGAACCAGGACTAACCTAATCCCTGAGGATTGGGCAATACTGTTTAGTCCTGAAGCTGAATGGTGGATGAGCTCTGTGAAGAGTTGGTTAGGTTGACATGGCTTCCAGCAGTCTCTGAGCAGCTGATACCTTCAGTAGTATGTCAGGGATGGGGTTGGGTGCCTGGACTTGGGTTGTGGAGTGGCTGAGAGAGGGTTCAGGAGGGCTCTGGACAGCTGTGTGCTGCATGGGGTTGGGTGTCTGTCTGGCTCACATTCAGTACCCATGGCCACCTCCCTGTTTTCTGTGCCTTATCTCACTGTTTCAGCTGAGTCCAAGTTGTTTACTCTGTTCCTCTCCAAGGGGCTGTCTGTCCCAGTTGGACAGCTCATGTTTGGGACATAAGCCTTTGCCCCACAAGCTGTGGAGAGGGCCAAAACCAAGCTGCTTGAGCTGGCTGTCTTGCTGATAGTCCAGGCCCGCCTGCAGCTGGAGGAGCCCCTTATATACACCCAGTCCTATCAGCCTGCTTCCAGGAGCCTACAGTACGGAAGGCACCTGGGAGCAGCCCGGTGAAGGGCTGGACTGACCCGTGGGTGTTAAGAAGCCCTCACTCTTTCAGGTCATCCAGCCCTGGGGGAGCAGCCTTCCCTACTCACCTTCCCCTTCTGACACCAGATGGTCGCTCCTTTCAGAGTGGAAACTGGCGGACCACTCAAAGAAAGCCAGAACTTCCTATCCCCACCCATATTGGTCTGTGGCTGGGTGCAGGTTGTCAGAACAGGGAAGTAGGGACTGCCTAGCCACCCAGCGCCTTCCCAGCCCATAAGCAAGCACAAAGAAGACAAGACAGAGGACTGTTGGAGCTGAAAGTTCCTTTGGTTGCTCACAACTCAGGTATGCATGCCGTGTGGCAGCTGGACAGCAGAGCCCTACTTGACCACCAGTCCTGGGCACCTGGACCTGCAGCCAGAAGGTGGTTTCTGGCTGCCCCAAGCGCCCACCTCTTTGCATAGGGTTTTCCTCCATTAGTGACTACAGCTGAAACAGACATCCTCCACATTGTGCACACTGGTTCTGCCTTTGTCCTCGCAAGTTGATACTTGGCATTAGCATGAAACTTGTGGGCATGGGAGGGTTGAGAGAATTCAACACAAAACATCCTATTAAAATTTTACTTGAGAGATGAAAAAACTCCTGTTGTATTTTGACAGAATTATTTTTATTAAAATACACATCCATGAGCAGTCATGAGTGTCTGGTCTCTGTTTTGAGTCTTACTGGGGTTGGAACCCCTTTTGTAACACATCTTGGCCTATGGATGCATTTGGCCCTTTTCAGCCCACCGTTTGAGTACTCTGACCTGTGCTGCCTCAGGGACACTTGAAACTTCAATGTTGTAAAGACCCCAAAGAGGACAGGTGCTTAAGCTTCAGTTCTCTCCCTTGGCTGGGTGTGGTGGTGCACACCTGTAATCTCAGCACTAGGGAGGCTGAGGGAGGAAGATGCTACAAATTTGAGGCCAGTGTGGGCTATATAGAAGTTCAAGGCCAGCATGAGCTACATAGCAGGACCCTGTCTCAAAACAAAACAAGATAAAACCAAAAAATCTCTTCCTTGAAAGAATTTTCACCTTAGACCAGGAAAACAAATTCAAGTTCAGAAGGACCACAGGTGGTCTTCCCAAAAAATAAGATTATAAGAATGCAGTCATCCCTCGTATCCACTGGGGCTTGGTTCCAGGGATGGCCACCCTTATACCCCAATGGATATCAAACTTCTTGGATGCTCAAGCCCCTTATTTAAAATGGTTTAATATTTGCATATAACCTGCACACACATACTTTTATATCATCTCTACATTACTTCTCATACCTAATGTAAATTCTGTAAATTATTATACTGGATTTTTTTAGGGAATAATGACAAAAACCAGGCTTAGTGGTGCACGTCTGTAATCCCAGCACACTTGAGGCTGAGGAAGGATGATTCCAAATTCAAGGCTAACCTGGGGTACATAGCACAAGGCCGTCCTGTACTATATCAGCAAAAAAGAATGACAAGGAAAGGAAACAAAATCTGTACATGGTTCAATACCAAACAAAAAAAAATTTTGGCAGTACCCAGGGCTTTCACACTCAGCTACAGTCCCACCGCTTTTTAAACTTTTGAGACAGGGTCTTGCTAAAGTGCCCATGCTTGGCTTGAACTTGAAATCTTCCTGCCTCAGCCTCCTACAGTGCTTGGATTACAGGCACAGCTATCACACCTAGCACAATTTTTTCTTTAATAGTATTTTTGTGAGATGTTAATTGAAGCTACAGGTGCAGAACTTGTGGACACAGAGAGCTAACTATATTCCAAAGATCCCCACCCAAATACTAGTCAGGGCACCTGAGTACCTCTCTCTTGAGGGCTACTAAGGAGGATCACTTTCAATCTGAGTTTTAAACCCCAGCTCAGCTGTTTACTAATTTGGTGACCACAGGAAAACAAGCTGCAGCTGGGATCGAGTGCTCCATGCATGCTAGGTAAGTGCTCTACTATTTGGCTGCATCCAGCCCAGAGTTTCAGTTTTCTGTTTTTGTGTTTTCTGTTTGTTTTCTGAGACAAGGTCTCACTATGTAGTTCAGGAGGATGGCCTCAATTTGCAGCAATACTCCCAAGTGTTGGGATTACAGATGGGAGCCTCCGTGCCCGACCAGGTTCCCATTTTTAAAATGTGGTTAATCCATCCAGCCTGTGGAAGGGGGTGATAGCATGCACACAATAGGTTCTGGCACATTGGGATGCAGTACTGGTGAATACCTTCCCTCCATGAGGATGCTCCCTGGTGTGTCTGGCCGCTACTGCCTCATTCTACCTCCTCTGACCTCATAATGCCAGGGTTTTTTCCCGGGGAGGGATACAGAGGATCATGCTAATCCTCTGTGGTACTGGAAAGAGATTGGGAGGCAAAGAAACTAGCTAGGAGGCTACTGTAGTAGGCCACAAATAAGAGAGCAGGGATGAAAACTACTTAGGAGATAAGGCACAACATTTGTGTTGGTGATCAATGGTGAGGGAGATGTGACGGGACAAGGCAAATGCAGACTTTGGAGTGAGTGGCAAAATATATATGAGCGGAAAGAAGGAGGTACTGGCTATGTCACTGGAGTGGGAAGGTTTGCTGAAGAGATGTAAAATTATATCTCAGGTAGACACAGTTTCTGAAAAAGTTCCTCTGAGGTGCAGTAATCAAGAAAACTGTCTCTCGAGTATTGGTCATGAATACTGACAGGTAAGTGTTAAGATGTACTGCATAACTCTGAGCTTTTCAAATTTGTATTACTTAGTTCCCTCTTAAAGGACTATAAAGATTGGGGCAGGGGAGGGTGTTTGCTGGAATTGAACCCAGTACTCCATGCATGCTAGGTAAGTGCTCTACTATCTGGCTGCATCCAGCCCAGATCTTTTTGCGCGTGTGTGGGGGAGTGTTTTTTGGTCATAGTAGGTCTTGAACTCAGGGTCTCAAGTGTACCAAGTGTTCTACTGCTGAGCTACACCCTCAAGACCTAAAGAATTCTTAAGTCAGAACTAAGGGAAAGAGAGGAAAGAAATACCAGATTAAACACCAAAGTCCTGGTTTCATAAGTAAAGTAGGAGTAGATTTATTTTCCTCCAGACTGTTGGTTCTCAAAAGGGAATGATTTTGGCCCCAGGGGGATGTGCAGCAACGTCTAAAGATAGCTGCAACTGGGATTAGAGTGCTACTGGCATCTCCTAATGCAGAATTAGCAGGCCTAACATGTCAACAGAAACCCTGCTCTAGAAGTATGGAGCTTTGAATAATGACATAAACAGGTCAAACACAGGCACCCTTTCTTCGGCTGTTCCCGATCTAGGGGAGGAGGCAGGCCATAGAAACAAATTAAAATTTCTCATCACTTTGAGAGCCTCTCGTGCTGATAAGAAGTCTTGTCCGTCCAAGCCAGGTACAGCCCGGCAGCTGGTCAGAGAGAACTACCTTAGGTCAGCTGGTCATGTCCTCATCACAGTGTGCTCCGGAATGGCTGGAGACCCTCCTGATGCAGCCACGTGGGAGTCCCAGAGTCATCAGGCGAGTCAGACAAGTAGGGATGAGCTCCCATGCAGAAATAACCGATTACATTTCCAACACAGCCGGTTTCACACGAAGGCCAACCCGCTTGAGCAGTTTGGTGAATCAAAGGGTAGCCTGGCTACAGCATTTATTTAGTTAGGACAACATAGGCCACGGTGAATAGGTAAAGGGGAGCTTGGTACAGTGGCGCACAAATGTAATCCCAGCTACTCGACAAGCTGAGGCAGGAGGCTTGTAAATTGGAAGCTTCTCAAAACAGAAAATAAAAGGGCTGGGGGTGTGGCTCGGGGAGAACACTTTGTAGCATGCGCAAGGCCCTAGGTTCCATGTCCAGTACAAAGGAAAAGAAAAGGGGACTGAGGTCACAGTCTAGAAGAACACTGACATTTAACAAACAAAGAACATCCAGAGGAAGGGGAGCCCAGACAGGAATATGAGAAAACAGGAAAGCGAGTCAGTAGGAGTCTGGGAGCCAGGAAGTCCGACAAGTTCGAGAGATCCGGCCTTCTGCAAAGATAAGCTATTGTCCAAAACTTTGCTTCATTATAGGAAAACCAAAGTCGACCACAATTTCTAGGACCTTCTCATTCTTGACAACAATTCCCAGACCCCAGAGAGACCAAGGGTATAAGCGGACAGGCACCACCGCTTCCGCTGCCGGAAATACACACAACACCAAGACCTCCCAGTTGGGTTATTTAGGCCCCACCCCCAACAAGCGAGCATGCGCGGCTCCCTGCCCCAGCCCCTCCCTCTCAGGCCCACCCCCCCCTTTACGGAGCATGCGCTGTCCTCCCTCGGTCCCGCCCCTCCCTTCCAGAGCCCTGGGTTCCTTAGAAACCAGGCGGCGTGTTCCCGGTGTCCGGGCGCTACCTTATCGTACCCGCTCAACCGCACCAGTCTCTTTCAAAGCAGGCGGGTGGCTTCCGAGACCCGTCTGGACCCATGGTTTCCGGTGCGGCGCGGAGCGGGCGATGCCAGCGTGCCAGGTGAGAGGCGGCCCTCGGCGGCGGGCGAGGGTGAAGGAGGGCATGGCACGGCCGCAAGCGGGTGCCGGGCCTCGTCCACCGCCCGGCGCCCGAGGTGAGACGGCCAGAGCCCGGCTGGAGGGGGCTGTGCTAATTGCCAGCCTCGCAGAATGTGAGGGTCGCCCAAGCGTTCGTGTTCTCCACCTCAGAAATAGAACCTGCATGTTTGGTCATGGACTTGCAGAATTTTGGATCCTGGAGGACCTCGAACATAGCCCATGCCTTTACAGAGGCGAAAACCTAGTTTCTCCAGGTTGAGAGCAGACTTTGCTGAGCAGACTCCCTACCTGTGTGAGGATGGACGCTTATGGATGAGGATGTGTGTAGTGTGCAAGCCTCAGACAAAGGACTTGTGCGGTAGCTGGTCCAACCCTCTTTCACAATGAGATGGGACTTAGGGGATAAATCTTTTAAAAAACGATTTTTAAAAGATTGGTGGTTCATACCTGTAATCCCAGCTGCTGGGGAGGGTGAGGCAGGAGACCCGCCAGTTCCAGGCTAGTCTGGACTCCGTCTCAAAAAATGAAAAGAAGAGGGGAGAGGAGAGAGAAACAGGTGTTCTGGTGACAACTGAGACGGTCTGTCTTGGCTGTGCCAACCCCTGGGCACCCTTTGGCCAGTCCTTGGTCTTCCTTTGAAGCTCAGAATAGAATTAGATGGACTTGTGGAGACAAAAGGTGAGGTACGATATTACTATGAAAGCCTATCATTCTTGAATGGTGAGGGAAAAAGAGGGCTTGTGAATGGTTGTGTGGAGTTTACTTTCCAGACTACAGCAAAATCTAAAGAACAGGACAGGAATGGAAAAATTTAAAGCTACGTTGGAGGCCGGGGATAGGTATATAGCTCAGTGGCACAGCGCCTGCCTGGCAAGTGCAAGGTCCTGAGTTCAGTTCCTGGTACCAAAAAAACCCCAAAACCCTACATTGGGTGGACACCAAGGCTATTTATATTTACAGTTCCCACAGTATCATGCTGAGGGCATATGAGGAAGAAAAAGAAAAGGCTAGATATCATCCTTGTGATCTATGAGGCACAGAGGCCTCAGAAGGAAGACCCCATAGCATATGGCCCCTCAGTTGAAGGGAACAGCATTTAAATTACTAGAGGAAGACACTTCAAATGTTACTGTGTTGTGGAAGATCCGGAGAAGACGGTTGTCTTTGAGTGAGGCAAGCTAAATTCATTCTTGATGAGGAAAAGCCATTTCCTTTTGAAAAGCTGCACCAGAGAACAAAAGAGTTTCCAGGTCATTCATTTTACAGAAAACATGGAAAAAATTACCCTTTGGGGCTGGGAATTTAGAAAATCTGTGTGGTCCAAAAGGTGAAACTTTTTAGCAGGCAGTTCTGTTGGTAGAATTTCCATTTTATAGATGAAGATTCCATTAAGAGAGGTGTTTTTCTTACAACCTGGTTGTCGCACTTTTCCTATGGAGTGATCAGTCTGGTCTAATCTATTTTTTTTTAATTTGCAAAGAAAATTCAGATATATGATTTCTGTAGTAACTGTAGAACTCAATAGTAAGACAGCAATGAAGAAAAAAAGGCCTAACCCCTTCCCAAACAAAAGGCTTACAAATGTGCAATATGAGCCCTTTGTGCTAGTACATGACTGTAATCCCAGTGCTCTAGGAGGCTGAGGTATGAGGATCCCAAATTTGAGCCCAGCCTGAGCAATTTAGCAAAACTATCCCAGATTTAAAAAAGGAAGGGGGAGTGAGGGCTGAGATTTTTTTAGCCCAGTGTGAAGGTCCTGAGTTCAATCCCCAGTATTGTAAAAAAGAAAAGAAAAGAAAAAAGCAATATGGAGAAAAGTGTGTGTTTTGTTTGTTTTTGTCTTTTTGAGACAGAGTTTCACTATACAGTTGAGGCTGGCCTTGAACTCACTTTGTAGCCCAGGCTGGTCTTAAACTCGAAGCTGATCCTTTTGCCTCAGCCTCCCAAGTGCTGGGATTACAGGCATGTGCCCCCACACCCAGCAAGTGTATGATTTTTAAAAGGTGGTCCCTGATTCTAATCACCAAGGTCAAAGTGTTGCTAGCTTGATAAAACTAATTGCCAGTGTATATTTGACTTTGTAGCAGGATTCCCTTTCACAGAGAGATTAAGAGAAGATATATTGAAAATATCATTTTTTAAAAAAATATAATGTTAATAGGTCAAATCAGTGTAAGGAGGAAAGCTTTGTCTTAGGTGCATAAATGAATGCCAGACTATAACTGTAGATATAGCAGCTGTGTATTTTATTGACATTTTCCACCTGTGGTATTTTGTGTAGATATCTCAAAGATAATGAAGCATTATCAGAAGTCTGCATAATCTATGGAGAAAATCAGTATTATTAACCAAATTCTGTCAGGAAGACTTCCTGAAAATAATTGTATTCTATGTAGAAATCCGTACTGCGTTAGTGTTGACTCAGGTGGAAGAAAGAGGCCAAAATCCAGATAAGGATGTAGGGGACCCAGTTGCCCTCTACAGACTTGGATGGGATGTGAGCCTGTGCCTTGAAAGTAAGTGTAAGCACTGCTTGAGTGAGTGAACTGTTGTGAAAAGGTACTTCTTAAATGCAGCTGCCAAGTACTTCATGGAATGCCACAATCAGAAAGACACTTGTTTTTTTATTTTTAGAGGGGAGGGTTAGAATTGCAGAGAATTCTCAAAGCATTTCAAAGTTGCTATGACAATGAAACCTTTGACAAGTAATTACGCCATTATCATGCAACTAACTGAGGGCAGTTATCAAGTCTGACCTGTAATAAAATAATCAACAGTATTTGACAGGCCAAGCATGAGGAAACTTTACCAGATAAACCAGTAATGCTAACAGGATCTACTTTCACTGAACCTTTTTTTTTTTTTTTCTTTTTCTCTGGGTTGAACATTGAATCCTAGGGCTTCCTATAATTCTACCACTTAGCTACATCCCAATCATTTTTAAATTTTATTTTGAGTTCTATGTCTTGGTGCATGCTTGTAATCCAGGAGGTTGAAGCAGGAAGATTGCTGCGAGTTTGAGGCCAGCCTGATGTACATAGTGAGACCCTGTCTTAAAAAAGAGAAAGAAAGAAAGAAAGAAAGAAAGAAAGAAAGAAAGAAAGACAGACCCCTGTTAAAGTGCCTTTAGAACTGGTTTGTGAAAGGAGTTTGGAAAGTTTTAGAGATATGTGTTGGCGGAACAGTCCTAGAATGCTGTGAGGCAAGCTTAATGGGAGATTGTGGTTGGTGATCAAAAGACAAGAATGCTGATAGAAATGCATATGGTTAAAGACCAGGGTGAGAAGATTTCAATTAGGAACAAAGACTGTATTAGCAGTTGAACTTAAGACCATGTATGTTACACTCTGGCGGAAGATTTGTCTACATTTTGCTCATGTCTTGAGACTTTGTGGGAGCAAATTGAGGGCGTAGACTAATTCGGCAGGGAAAATTTCAAGGCAGCCCAACATTCAGGCTGTGGGATGGGTCCTGTTAGGTTTTTTTTGTTTGTTTGTTTTTTTAGCTCTACAGCACAGCTCTCTCAGCTAGCTCTGAGTGATTTAAAATTTTTGAGTTTCACCATAAAGGAAGCTCCTGTAAAGTTGATGGCTAAAAAGATGGAGCAGAGGAGAGAGTAGCCTTAAAAGGAAACCAAATGCCGGGCATGGTGCTACATGCTTGTAATTCCAGCACTCAGGAACCAGTCCAAAAGAGAATCCATGGGGGCTATAACCACTGTCAGTTGGATAGGGGGAGGGCCACCCAACCTCTTTAGAGATTGCATCTCACCACAGCTTACCCTAGGTGCTGGTCATAGAACTATAGGATTTAATGTTTGCCTTACTGATTTTGGTCTTGCTTTGGTCCAGTTTCTATCCTCATGTTGTTTACTTTTGGGAATGTTTACCCTGAGCCATTGAATATTGGCAGTGTTTAACTTTTGATTTTACAGGGGCTCACAGCTAACAGTTTGCCCTAAGTCTCAGAGAAGAGATTAGACTTGGAGTTTCAAGCAGTGCTTGAACTGATAGGACTTTGGTAACTCTTAAGAGATAGACTAAATACAATTTGCATAAAGTATTTTGTGGCCAGGGATGGAACAATATGGTTTAAATCCAGGTGTTCCCCTAAAGCTTTATGTGATCATAGGTGGGACCTTTGGAAGGCAATTGTATTATTGGGCTGTATAGCTGACTTGATATTAGCATGTAGGGTCTGGTCATAGAGGTGGGGAGCTGGGGGTGGTGCCTGTAAAGGTTTATCTCCTTTCCTGGCTCCTGCCTTGATGCTCTTTATTTCCTGGATGCAGGGTCTCTGTGCCATGCTGTCCCACCTTGGGGCCAGCCAACAATGGACTGAAACTTCTATAAAGATGTCCGTATTATATCTCTGTGACAAGAAAGTTAATGAAACTCCTTTTTAAAAACAGGAATGAAGCCGGGCTTGGTGGCGCATGCCTGTAATCCTAGCACTTCGGAGGCTGAGACAGGAGGATAATTGTGTGTTTGAGACCAAGTTTGGGCTACAAAGTGAGCTCAAGGCCAGCCTGAACTGCGTAGCGAGACCCTGTCTCAAAAAAGACAAAAAAGGTCTGGGGATATAGCTCAGTGGCTCAAGTGCCTGCCTGGCAAGCGCAAGGTCCTGAGTTCAATTTCTGGTACCAAAAAAAAAAAAAAAAAAGTAAAAATAAAAACAGGAATGAGCCAGGTATGGTGGCACACACCTGTAATCCTAGCACTTGGGAGCCTGAGGCGGGATTGCTGTGAGTTCCAGGCCAGGCTGGGCTACATAGTGAGTTCAAGGCCAGTCTGAACCTCATAGCGAGACCCTGTCTCAAAAAAAAAAAATGTGCTCACTAAGATAGATATGGTGGTATAAGAGGATCACTGAGAGTTCTAGGCTAGCCTATGCTACATCTTGAGTTCAAGGCCAATTGGAACAACATAAGGAGACCCTGTCTCAAACCAAAACAAAAATGAG